AGAATAAATGATACCGTAAGCCAAGATGCAGACTGATTCGCACTGACATTATCAATCAAATCTTTATGTGTCTATTTTTAATTAAATTTTTTATATGTTGATGAACTGTGTCAAAAATAACAGTTAATGGGTAGTCATTATCTAGTAAAACGTTAATAATAAATGTCAAATTTTTTGTATGAAACATACAGTCAGAAAGTAAAAAATCTCTGTCAACTAGCGAAAAAATTGTACCCTTCTTTTGTGCAATAAGATGATTTGAGTTGAAATTTAAAAACCTCCCTGAAAAGGTAGGTTTGTGGTACCAATCAAAAATAAAACCTGATTCCTGTTAATAACGGACACTTCTGTCCGTTCTGTCATAACGGAGCACAAGCTGCAGTATGATCATAATTTCCAATGGGATAATGTTAAAATTTTAGATAAAGAGCCTTGCTGTAGAAAACGCTTAATTTCCGAGATACTTAATATTAAGAAGCAGAAAAATAGTTTAAATTTACAAACTGACACTTACGCTTCAGGCATATATACCTATTGTAAATAAGGTTTGACTTTTCGATATTGACAGTCTGTCTCTTCTCTCAGTCCGTGGTGATCCGTATCAGCGAGCGTACATAATAATCGACACATAATGTTCGTTTTACACATCTTCATTCCACTTATCTTTATATATTCTAATGGTTATTCATACTTATATGGACACACTTGTTAATGTAATTGTTTAAATAATTTACATATGATTTTTGATGAGTTTTTATTACTTATTAGAATTTCGGTATGTTAATTTAGTTGCGTTTATTTTTTCGTAAGAAGTCTTTTTATCTTTTTTATCAACTAGAACTTTTTCAAGAGATATGAAACACATTTGACTGTTCAATCGTATGTGAATGTTGAATTCTACATCAAAACTCACCCAAACTGTGAATATAGTGAATATGCGAACATTTGCGAATTAATTTTGTACTGCACTTTTTTCGATAAGTTAATGTCTGAAGAGAGCTCAATCCAATAGCCAAAACTTGTAATTTATTTGTATTTAAATTGAATTTTTATTTTATTATATATTTTTTCAATTTTACTTTTCTTATTTATAATTTATTCTTTTAATTGTGTAACTTTTTTAAAGAAATATGTTTGACTCTTATTTTGCCCTTTATTTATTATTATTTATCAAGTCTTTATCATTCAGATGTGTGAATCCTTTCAATAGTTATGTCCAAACAATGATTCGCCCTAATAAACTTAAAGAACAGAAATCTGAAGCCACATAGCAACTACACATCCAATATCTCAATGCACAACAATGATCGCTACTGTAAAACCTTTTAAACGAAATATATGTATTCCGCCTTTAATTGCCAATTGAATATTTTTTACTTCACGATCGGCAGAAGCATAACACAAAACACTTCCTCGTTTTTACAGAATAGATTCAGTAATAATTGTTGTACTCTTTAACTTTTGTTTAATTATTTCTAATTAACATTTAAAATAAAAATTTGCAATTCATATATTAATGATAGATATTATTTTTAGATAGATTATAATCTAGAGTAAAATAAAGTTTTTTTTTATTTGGTACATGATTAACGCAAGTATTTGACACATAAATGACATGAAGCTGTCAAAAAAATATTTATTTTGTAATTTATTTTATAAGCAAGTATTGCGATAAATTACATATACGACACATCCTGTATGTTAAAAACAAATTGACCCTAAATTAATGAATTAATCGCATTCCAGTCGAATTTTCTTACAGATAACTATGATATGCTCGATATAAGAACATATATTAGAAATTCATATAGATTTAAATTTAGAATGTCTTTCTAAACCCTCCTGTTTATAGCATTAGCGGATTTCCTCATGCAATAATAATCGTTTTCAGAAAAAAAAAAAAAAAGAAATTAAGAACTACGCGTAGATATCTAGTTGGCTCACTGTGAAAAAGCATTACTAGACGTACGTTATACAATACAACAAATGGTAGTATGATTACTGATTACTCCGAATGAGCTGAAGCTTACAACACCATCACCCTATAGATATGAAAGGAAATACTTTTGCTTGACATTCCCTACATAGGCACTCAATATGAGAATGAGTACATTGCGCTGAAATCTTTAAAAATATCGAAAAAAAAATCATGCGCGATGCACAGGGAAAAAATCTCACTTATTCCTTAAATGTGAAAAATTGCTCTCCATTTTCAATTATTTATTTTTTCGGATAAATTAAGTTGAAAAAAAATTCTATTTAATAGTAATGTGGTAAAAAAGAATATTTTAATTATAAAAATAAATTTTTGTATACTATAAAGATAAAATTAATCAACAAAGTTATATTTTATGTATTTATCCAAAACTATTTAATATGAAATGAATGTTTCATTGCACTATTTTAATAGTGAGAAATATTTAATTTACAGATATCCCTTTTTTTTTATATATTTCAATTCTTAAACTTCTTAATTAGATAACATCACTTTTCCTATTTTCTTTTTAGTACCCAAAAGAATTTCAGAGTGTTGTTAAAACAAAGTCTACTTAAAATTAATTAATAAAAAAAATAAAATTATCTCATATATACTTACATATACACACAACTTTCTTCCCATTTTTTATGTTTTACAAAACAATAATACTATTCGAAAGTTGAGGAAAATAAATTTTGTACAGTGAAAAAATTTATATTGAGAAAATTGAACTTTAAATTCCATATATCAAATCCTGAACTCTTCATCTATGATCCTTCCATCTAATGATCCCGCATAACTTTTATAAGTTTGCATGTTTTCATATTTCTTTAACATTTCGTTCGATCAATTATTTTCATCTCATAAAAAAATATCACGAAATTAGCAAAAGCTAATTTTACGCTGGCGTTGTATCAGTCATACGCTTGCGTAAATGACACAAATTTAAAAGAAGTTACTCGCAGTTAATGCAGCCGAAGAAATACAATTAGTCCTTGCACAAAATATATGCAACTCGTAAATGCGCGCTACATTATACAGACAATAGAGGCAATTAACCATGTTTAGCTAATGCACCTCGATAAAGTCCGAACAAGAATCTACTTAGCGAGATAACAAAATCAGCTTGTTTAATATTAAACACAGCGTTTCTCATTGACACTGAGTGTAAAACTTAAACGTCTTCAATCAATATTTAATGCATTATTACAATGCATATTTCTTAATTGAAAAAAAATATAAAAACTTTTCATGTTTTGTTAACGAAATATAAATATTAATTATATTTTCGGGGTGCTAGATATTAATTATTTTATATTCTATTATTTGAAAAAAAAAAATG